ATAAAGCGCTTTTAGTGCTTTCTGTCTAACATTCACACTCCAATGGATACATCAGGGTTAATATCTTGCCCCAGGATATTTGGCAAGCCACCAACCTTTTGATTAGCAGAACTGATCTAACTCCTAAGCCACCGGGCTGTAGCTTAGGACTTGAACAGCCAGGGATCAAACCCACAACCAATCATCAATACATTTACAATTACTTTTTTTTTTTTTTTTTTTTTTTTTTTTTTTTTTTTTTTACAAAATACAATGTAAAACCATGTGCCTATTTTATCACCATCTTAAAAGTATTTACCCTGAAACACATCATTTGTCAGTTAACCACATAAGAAATTATGCATTTTAGATTTTGATTTACATTTTGTTCTGCTGACTTATCTCTTTTTCTCATTACTTTTTGTAGATATAATGGATGCCTGGGCTAAAAGAATCCTCACGTTCTACTGTCAAAAATAGGTGGTTACAAATTATTCTACTGAGATATCCAACAAATTGGTCTGGACATGGAGTTGGAAAGTGAGGTACAGTGATCTTTACTGACAGCTTTGTAACTATCAGTGTTTTATTCCTTGTGATGGACCGAGCAGTGAAAGAAAGTCAGTCACAAGTTAGAGTCCCCAAAAAAGGTTTTTTATTTAACCCTAAAACATAGTTGGTTAAATCTTACAAAAAACAAATTAAAAATCTTGGGCCCATAAAAGAGGTCAAAATAACAAAACTCTACCCAAAGTTAACAAACAATACTGATAACTCAAACAAACTGACCTGACTAAACAAGACAAAGAGGAAACTTAAATAGTGGCTGATGTAAGAATCTTTAAGTAAGCTATTAAGACTCGAAGGTACATTGTGTTTGTGTTTTCCTCCGGAACAGTACGTTCCTGTTGGAAACAATAAGTTCTGTTGGAGCAGCCTTTCAACCCCTCTCTCTGTCTCTCGCTAGCAAAGTTCACCCAGACAACAAAGTAAAGCTATTTTTCGGCTACTAGCCCGACACAAACCCGACATATTATAATAATAATAATAATAATAATAATAATAATAATAATAATGGATTAGCCAGAGGTCCCTTTACTACGGTTCGGAGATGCAGACCTTCAGTAATAGTAATAAATCACACAGCAATAGTACATTCATGCAGTTGTAAAAAGCATGATAATATATTAAGTGATCCAAAGTATTCAGAATACGTTACTCTCATTGAGTAACGTAACGGAATACGTTACAAAATACATTTTCGGGCATGTATTCTGTAATCTGTAGTGGAATACATTTTAAAAGTAACCTTCCCAACACTGTTCATACGTCACTGTTAAAGTGGCTTAAGAATAGAATAATCCTTTAATTGTCCCACAAGGGGGAAATTTGGTAGAAAGCGATAAACATTATTCTGAAGATAGTACAAGGATCGGAGTGAGGACACTCCATGTCCAAAGAAATCCTCTCCAAAGTTACTGTGGTTATTGGTTATACTCTGATTTGTTTTGCTAATAAACTCCTTCATGATAGCATCACTAATGTGCATTACAGAAGTCTAAACCCAGGGTAAATTAAGTGGAGAGCGATGTTTTAACATGATCATGTCTGGTTTTACAGTATTATAGTATCAAATAGTTTGTCTGGACAAACTATTCCCAGCAGGTTATTTCAGTGTACAGTTTAAGGTAAATAGTCTTCCGCACGGCACATTACAATGTCACGAAGTTAGTATTAAAATACATTCACAAATCGAGTCTGTTTTCCAGCTTTTACGCTTTATTGCAACGACTGCAGATCAGTGACAAGTGGAGAAACAAAGCTGGGCAAGTGGCTCCTCCTCCTTTGCGCGCTCTCATAGATGGGAAAAAAACCGTTTTTGCCGAGGGTTGCTCTTTCTGATGATATCCACATAGCATTGCACTCCCGCTGGACTTACCGTGAGCCACCATGTCTGTGAGGCTGTTTTCTGTAAAAAGCCCGCTTTCCAGATGTTTCAAATCTCTGCACAGCTGTTCAGCACGAGCGTTTGGGTAAGATAAATCCGAATGTGGAAGAAGAGCTGTGAAAGTAGGGTGCGGGTGATAAAAGATTAAATATATTTGTTGCTTTTCCAGCGCCGGAGCCGCCTGCCTCGGCTCGGTGAATTTAAAAGGTCGCAGCTGTCTGACTCTGAAGGATTTCAGCTCAGATGAAATCAAAAAGCTGCTGTGGGTCTCCAGAGACCTCAAGCATCGGATCAAGCACGAAAAACAGGTATTTAACTTTAATTGCAAAACTTCAGTACTTATAGTTGGTGTACTCTGTGGTCTCTGGATGTGTAATTAAGAGTCATTTCTATTTCAGCATTTGCCTCTTCTACAAGGAAAGTCGATTGCAATGATATTTGAGAAGAGGAGCACCAGAACAAGAATGTCCACAGAAACAGGTGTCAGTTTTTCTATATA